GAGATACCTATCTGTGGTGCAGAGACACCGCTCTGTGGTGCAGAAACACCTGTCTGTGGTGCAGAAACACCTGTCTGTGGTGCAGAAACACCTGTCTGTGGTGCAGAAACACCTGTCTGTGGTGCAGAAACACCTGTCTGTGTGTCATAGACACCTGTCTGTGGTGCAGAAACACCTGTCTGTGTGTCACAGACACCCGTCTGTCGTGCAGAAACACCTGTCTGTGTGTCACTGACACCTGTCTGTGGGGGATGCTGAGACTCCTGTCTGAGGTGCAGCAGCATAGGCTGTTGTTCTGCGTTTCTGTGTATGATTGGTGGTTTTTGTAGTCGTAGCTTTGTGTCAAGTTGTACAGATTGTCTGTACATTAGACAGGTCTCCCAACTGAAGGCCTTCAGTAGGTGTAAAATACACGGCCTGCCATTGGTGTGACATTAGGGCTGCCACGATTAGTTGATTAGTCGACGACTAATCTATTACTAAAATAATCGATGACTGCAAGGCAGAACTTACCTTCCACAGCAATTATTTTTAGTTAGCATTTAGCTAAAATCTAAACATGGTTATATGATAGCAGCTGCATTCTGGCGCGATAAGCTGTATGTTTTATATTCAATTAACGTATGATCTGATTAGTCGACTAATCGAAAAAAATAATCGGTGATTAATCAATTATAAAAATAATCATTTGTGATGGGGGCAAGATGGCGGAGGAGTGAGACGTGTGTCGCGTGGCTCCCGCTCCGACTTGTTCAGTTTGTGGTTCTATACTAAATGTCCTTGCTGTTTTAAACATTTGGTCCGTTCGGACTCGACCCCTGAGTGATTCTTGCCTGTAAGAGTAGAAGAATGGCGATAAACTCGAGGAAAGGCAAACATTCTAGCTCGACGGCTGTTAGACCTGACGCCGCTCGGAGCTAACTGCAGCTAGGACCGGACCTTCGGCGCCCTCCTCTCCCTCCCGCGGCGAGGCGGACGCACTCTCCTTGAAGTCTGACATTCTTGCSGCTATAAAAACCGATCTCTCAGCTGTGATCAAATCCGAAATAAAAGCGGCTTTGGCTGAAGAGTTTACTCTTATTAAAGGGGAGCTGCAAGCGGTGAGAGCTGAAGTGGCTAACGGCACAATGCTACTGCATGCAGATCTGGACCACGTTAAACAGAGCGTTAAAGAAGTGGAGTATGGTTTGTCAACCTGATCCGATGAGGTGGTTTCTCTGCGCACNACCTCTAGTAATATATTTACTGAGAAAAATGTTGACGTGTTCAATACTTATTTTACCTGCTATATGCTATCATGGCTATCTGTCTATGTTAAAGTGGCTTTGTTTACAAGGAAGACAATATAGAAGATGTTACACAGACGTGCTGTACAGCCTGAAGTCTCCTCGGGGTCCAAATTCACTTTAAAGACCCAAAACATCCAGTCAGATCTACAATAGAGTGGGTCAGATTAAAGCAGATTCATGTGGTAGAACGATCTTATCTTTACAAAACTCTTTATGCTTGTTCATTTTCTGTGGATGTTTATCTTTTATAAAATGTAGTTAGACTTAAATCATAGAACGTTTTCAACATCATGTCTGAGTTTTTATTTAAATGATTTTTGTAACAATAAMGCACAAGKTAAACTGGGTCAACATACAAAAGAACTGCATGGTTTAACATGATGGTAACAATGTGGCTCCTCTTCATTTAAGAAGCACTCCAAACGAAGGCTTAAAGCAACCTAACAGCCTGTTTATCCTCTCTACCCTCTTCCCAAATCTGAAAAAGGAAAAGTACATAAAAGCTAACACATTAATGCACGAACAAAACTCCATTACAAAAAATCACAAGAAGACTAGTCTTTAAAATAAARCCTCCAAATTTCCCAGCTGACTATTCCAAAACGTTTTTGTACCTCATAACAAGAAACTACACTTTTTACTAAACGGGTAGTGATTTCCCTGTACATGAGGGTTTCTCTGGATGCTTTCCTCAGTCCTACACTCCTTGTATCCTTCACCCGGTGGCAGGGTCAGAGGTCATCTTGTGGGCGTAAGCTCCAAGTGAAGCTGCTGTGTTTGGCCTTGGTGCAAGGCCTCGTCATGAAAACTGGATCTGCTGTACAGTGGGAATCTGGAATGAGATGAGAGATATCTTTATTGGATGAACAAAACGTCACTGAGATGCAGCCATGACAAACATTGTTGAGTTCTAAACGCTTATTACCACCTTCTTCCAAATTGTTTTTTTTCAACCATCAATTCATGAGTGCAATGCGTTTTGGGTTAATGATGATGTCATATCGGTATGCTCAATAGGTTTAACAGTTTTAATAATGACCCAACTTTTTCCAGCCAGCAGAACTGGCAGATTTACTGACACATGTTGCTACTCCAAATACTCACCAGTGGTGTCCGGAACAGTAATCACTAAAGGCACAGATATTACAATTAAAAGAAGACGTGCTAGCTAGAAACAGTACTCAAGCTAGCGATACAGCTGTCCTGCTGTCTACAGGTGGGTGGTCTAACCAGTCCACATAGAACAAAGATTCTTAACCCATGGGCCAAGCGCCACCTTGTGGTGACATCCATGTGGTGGACGTAGCCTAAAAGACCCCCTCACCCAGTACCAGTGTTATACTGTATAAAGCAGAGATTCTTAACCCATGGAGCGCCACCTTGAGGGCCTCAAAAGAACAATAGTTTTTAACTTTGGGCCGCAGAGGGCCGTGGGACTGCATTTGATTTTGAATGAGGTGCAATACACTTTCTCACCACTAGTAGCAGTAGTGCGCCACTCAGTTGTTAACAACTTTTTTAATATGTAGAAGAACCTTAGAAACCTGCCAAGAATGGAAACCTATTTTAAATGAAAAGTAGAAGCAAAAATGAAAGTAACTCGTCAAAAAACACCAAAGTTTGTCACTAATATGAAGTGCAGATTCTGTTTTTACCATGCAATACTTTAAACATGATCAAATACAGTTGCAGAT